AGCTTGAAGCACTTCAGATTTTGTCCCGACAAAACTGCATAATAAGAGAATTTTCAACAGGTCGAAAGCAGTTAAGGAAAATTCCCGTTAAAGTAAAAACGGTAGCTAATTTTTCAAAGAATTTTGGTTCTCATTTGCTTGGCTCTTTATAGTTGCACGAAAAAATTTGTCTCTATAGATTTTTCCGGAAGTTGATGCCTTTCCAGATTCAAAAGAACACTCCGAGAGCTTTCGACTTTTTACAACCCCATATTGACCGATTTGTAAAATTGAAAAAATTTGTATTTGAATCTCCAGGTTTTGGAGATTTATCTGTAAGCGATGTGCAGAATTTCGTTAGTTTCCCAGTAGATAATAAAGTACACGAAGCAGTTTAATGCCATTCAGATCTTATCTCTGCTATTCGCAATGATTCTGTACTCTTGGGTATAGAAATTATCAAGTGGTCATATGATTGTGCTCCAAACTCTTTTGTACCTCCTAATTTGTAACATCTTGGCTTCAGCCCGAATGCTTCAGAAAATTCTCCTTGAACAAGAAATTTCTAGCATTGTAACTTCTTGCTTGAAGAGACGCAAACATTCTTTTACATGCAAGATTGAAGACATGACTGTAAAAAGTGTGCTAATTCGACTTTTCTACGATTATGTTCGGAAAAAAATGCAAGAAACAATTTGCTCTTATCTGTTTCGAAAATCATAATTTTCAGAAATCAGTAAGTAATTCATATATGTTGGCCTGGAGTGGATTTCCCATTTTTAAATGCTGTAAAAATTTTAACCTCAAATTTGCCGAGCCGCTGGCTCCGAGTAGCCTTCTTTTTGCACCTTTATCTCTTCACGTGTTTATATCAAAATTTAAAAACGCGATTAATGGCCAAAAATTGCTATCCTATAAGAAAATTTTTGCGTAACCCCTCCAGATAGCAAAAAGTTACAAACTGATAGTTGCACTTCAGAATCGGCTTACTTTTATTCACAAGAAAATCCTCTGGGAGATTAATTGTGGGTTGTGAAAGATCATTGGATTATCTTTGCAAAAGATAATCTGTAATTTTCTTTGTTTGCAAGTTGATCTGGCGTTCAGAAGTTCAGCTTACTCTGAAAAAAATTTGTTATTTTCCTACTACTATCAACCTCTAAATAAAATTCTCTCGCTTTTACTTATGAACCTTTATAA